TTGGTTCCCTGGATAGCGCGTCCGCAACCACGTTTGCTGTCCCCTTCACAAATTCGATGGTCAGATCATAACGCTGAACTTCCAGTGCCCATCTCAAACTCTAGGAGAAACATTTGTTCGTTTCAAGAGCGATGTGAGCGCTGCATGATCAGTTCTAGCTATAGTACGAATCCCGTAAATGAAATAGTGGAACTTTTTCGAACCGCAAAAATTCAAATTCATGCAAACTCTTCCTGGTCGGTTACATATAATTTTTCTCGGCACAGACAAGTGTTTAGACGTAAATATGGTGAATGCAACATGCTATCGTTCATATTCTTGTGCTAGAACCGCTCCTATACCTACTTGCTAGCATCCGTTTAGATAACAGAAGGTCGAAATCTGTCCCATGTTGCTTCCTCTAGATTAGGCCGTGCTAAAGTAAGGTAAATGCTCTTTAAAGCGCGTCAAAAGCTATGCTACTCTTTTGACTAGCCGAACAGCTTTCTAGTATTGGGTTGGAGCATAATATCGTAGCGTTTTTTTTTTCGAGCGTATAAATTCAATCAGTACAAGTATCATCAAAAAACCGCTCATCTATTTGAAAGTACTCTTCCCGCTCTACAAAACCGTGGTTGTCATTTTCTTAAATTGTAGCTGTACTCAGGTATAGAGCTTAGAAGTTGGAAAATCCAGACGGCGAAAATCGGCGTTTCGACAGCTATTCTTCGGTTTGAATAAAGAAGAAAAACGCCAAATTGGAAGTTCTTTTGAATCCATTGTTCTAATCGAACCTTGCTCTAACGACCCTACCTTTTTCGCTCAAATTAAAACCATATTCATTTCGTACAAATTGAGAATAATAAGGACTCCGAAAACGAGCTCAATATTTTTTTTTAAATTCTATATCCGGTGATCTCCTGCGAAATGCAATCAAAGTTGTAAATAATGACGAAGTGAAGCATCACTGATTAGTTTTATGTTTTTATTTTTTGCTTCAAATGTTTGTGTGAAGAAATGAAAAATGCAAGCGCTACGATATTATGCTCTCAACCCACGACTAGTGAGCATATATAAGGCTTAGCTAGTATTGAGTCAGAAATTGCAACCAAATTCCGATGCTATTGGCCTAACGATGTACACACGTGGTGCTACATGTAAGGGGACGACTAATTCGGATAGTATTTACTTTTCTTGGTGGTTCAACTCATTTTTACGAGCGTTTCAGGTAGGATTCAATATAGGCACTGGCTCTATCGTTCGAGATTCGGTGAGGTTTACCGTTAATGCGCTTCTGCTGAAAGCTTGAAACACTCATTGGGCTTCATATTTTCGTTAGGGGGGACTCGTAGTGGAATTAAATACAGTCTAGGTATAGGCGGACATTTGACCGGTGTCAAGCAGTTCATCTTGATCTGTCTATCCAATCTCTGAAAAGCTCGGCCTATCCAGATTCGCCAATGGCGATATTTATATTCCCCATGTCACTCGGTATGTTTGATGATTAGGTCAGACCTAAGTTTCGGCTGCCAATACGAAGAAGTTTCTCCATATCCAGGATTCAGAGGCCTAGGGGCTGTGTTATGATAATAGTGGGCTTAACTCGATACTGGCAATACCAGATTCTGCGTGCGGAATTTCTTGACCGAAAAGGGAGTGGTCCTAGCGCCGGAAGCCCGCTGGAAATTTTGCAAGTGGTGGCTAAGTATCTTGGAATATTGATACTGCTATCCACATAGGCCGTATCAATGTAATTCGCTTGCCATCCCCATTCTGTGATGGGTTTTCAGTGGACAATTTATGGGAATTCACGATTCTCGTACGGCATTCGTGCCTACTAAAGTCTTTACCGGTAGACACGAAGGCCGTCCTGGTGTGGCGTCCTTACTTTGCTGCACGTGCATGTGAACGGAAGCCGAATCAGCTCCTATGATCATCACGCCTGCAGTTATCTTCCGCACTTGAAAAAATCTAATGGCATTCCCTGATGCGTTTCCACAGCTTGCCCTCACCGACGGTGCAAGCTTCAGCCAAAATCCGCACCCCGTTCCCGCCATTGCTTGAGAAGACCTTCACAGGCCTGTATCTACAAGCGCTTCCGCAGTAATGCTGAAGATTTCGCTTCGCAAGTACTTGGTACTGCGGTGAACCACCACAATCAAAACTACTACATGATGTCCGATATGGGTGGTCTAGTATTGAATTTGTGCCTGAAATCGCGTACTTCGGACACTCGGACAGGGTATATAAGACCCTAGAAAGCCACGAGGCATTCTCTACGTTTTATATTCTTTCAATAGCCTATTTAAAGGGTTTCTTAACCCTATTACAGGTTCCCCCCCCCTCTAACGAATGTTTTATTGTTTAATGATATTAGCTACCCACTCGTGTCCTATTATTGCTTTATTTGTTGCTAAATATTGTTCAACTGATTCAACTACCCATGTTTGAGAGTGCACTGTGCATTTGCACAGAGTGTTGGACTGAATTGTGGTGTTGCAACAGTCCAGTGTCATATCCGCGTGGCATTTCGCACGAGTGACGACTATCCTCTACATCTATTCATTGGTGTGTCAGCCACCGCAGTTGGACCGCAAAAGGACCGGTGAGATTCCACGATCTGCTTTTCATAGAATTCATAGTTGCACATTTTGCGTCGGTGCCGTGGAGTGCCAAAAGTTTTTATTATTTTACTTTCATCGAGAAATTGATTCTCACTCGAGAACTGAGTTTGTTCTTGAATTTTCAATGTGGTTTTTGTGCTTTTTGTAGTCCACAACAAATCAAAATGACACTTCAAAGCTGATCATTCATTCCTTTTTCTATCTCAATCTTTCTTCCCTTCCCTGGGCCTAATTCATTCATTATGGTTGGCCCCGCAGCGTTGCACTCACCGAAAGAGATGCTAACACGATACTGTAATAACATGGAATCCTTAATGGTGAAATATGATTATATCAACAATCATCTATCGTGCTCTCAAGGTCTAGCCAATGTCCACCAATTTAAGGAATTAGTTTTTGAGCTGCAGCCTGCCAGTTGGCACCAGATGCTCTATCCAAGTTCACAGCTGCGCTAGATTCGCTAACGGTCACCTCCACCCGGAACAAGAAGGTCAAACCAGAGTATCTATGTAGAAAGGGCACAAAATGGAATCGATGCCGGGCCAAGAGCAGCAATAGAACTACAAATCAAGTCAATCTTCACCCTTGATACGCACACGTAGTCCATCGGAACCAACCGCGCAAGCCACCCCTTATTTACCCTCCATCGCCATTCTTAATTTCACTGGGAAGGTCTGGAAGTTTCATAACTTCTGGCCCTTTTCGGGGCTTTTCGGGGCAAACGCTCACGGCCACTCTGTCACGCGCCTTCAACAAGTTTACGAAAATAATAAACACCTCTTATTTGTGTTTGCCCTTGCATGAACATAATTTCAGGCTACTACTTTGGCGATCTCTTTTAGTATCCTTTCAGCGACACCCTTTCGCATGAATCTACTTCGTTCGATGCTCTTCCCGTATGTGCGGCGCAACCGCAGGCTTCTCCACTTTACACGAATTTGACTACGCAACTATTTCAAGCTGCATCAGTTCCTGCTTGCCTCCCACGCCGTTTCAGTCCACGTTTTCTCCAATATTCTTTGGTTATGAACCTTTCACGAATGACTTCTACGAAAGCATGTATTCTGCTACTTCACCACTATATATTTATATCTTCAGCTTCTTCATAGGGAACTGCCGCTATAGCTCCTGCTTCTGCATCACTTTGTGCAACCACGACACTCCCATCATTTCCACTTCACAAGCTTTCAACGCCAGCTTCCCTCCACATTCCATCACCCTCACTTCAAAGCACAACCCAAGCTGCTGCTTCTCCATGTAGTGCACCCTTACCCCCACTTCACTCGCCACCTGCACACGCGAGTTTTTTTCAGTTTCAAGTACACCAGACGCACTAGCTGCTTTCACAAATCCGAAGCACACAATTTTACAAAGACACATTGGCGAAAAGCAGGTAAGCAAAAGTGGAAGACGTGATGTGCAATTTTATCGAATTCCAGGGACTACAC